AAGCTTAGCAGTTAAAAAATGTGAAGGAAATAACGTGAAAAAGCGAGAAAGGGAAAACATTTCTTACCACCAGCAGGATTAGCTGATCTGGATCCTTGAATATGAAGGCAGACCAAAGGACAGGCAAAAAGTGGATTAAAAGACAGCAAGACAATACAGCGTTCAGCATGCGGTTTATGCTATACACAATACAGACAGATTTATTCACAAACATGTCACTCCTAAAGTCTCTGCATAATGCAGTGAGTTAACGTGCAGGTTGATCAGCTTCTTAGCTAAATATCAACTAATGCACTGAGACCCAAGTTCTGCTCTAAATTACACCCCAGCCCTGTCTGCAGAGTTGCAGGGTTATCCACTGTGTGGGCATGGAGAATTTGGTCCTGTGACCGTATTATATTTGAATTCCTTAGTTATTTCATGCAATGTTTGGCTCAAAGATAAAGATCACATCTGGTTGGGCTAGGCTGGAATCAGGATTCAGCAACCAAGACCAAGGGAGCAGGTTCAGATGTGACCATCCTAATGCTTCATAAGACATTCTATAAAAAAAATGCAAAGCCCATAATCTTTGAAACCTTTAGATACTCCACTGTTCTTTAAACACTTCTGAGACTTGTCTCATCTGGTCTAATCATTTTTCACTAAACTAAGTTTAGGAATTTCCGGCTTTGTATCAGACTTAGATTCAAAACTGAAGAAATTAATTTAGATTAGCACACCAAAGCCCAAATTCCTTCATGACCTCAATGTAAAGGTTCCCATTTGGCCTCATCCTGGATATAATACTTCTCTCTTCAGCTCTCCCAGCCTAATACAATGCTATAAACTGCTTCCCAAACCCTCCAACATGACAGAGCAAAGCAATGAGAGCATGAACAGAGAAGGGCTTTTAAATAAGGGTGCAAAGCAAGACAAGTTCTCAGAACGAACACGTCTTTCCACAGAGCCCATCTCCCGTTACCCACAAGCTTGGAGGTCCTACAAAACACGAGTGATTTTCTCCCTTCCCCCTTCAATTCTTTTTAAAGTTTGAGTGACAAAATTCTCCTTAGATACCCATGACAAATTTGCAACAGCACAGGGTGTATGGCTCCTATGGGAAAACCATGTCTTTCCAGCAAGCCAGAGAGTGCAGATGTGTCATGTGAATCAAATGGCAGAACACTCTTCCCCATATCTACACAAAATAGATAATGTCCCATTTTAAATTTATGCCAAATCACATTAGACAGCTCACGTGTTACACATACAGAAATACAGTCACATAAGCAGGAGAAGCTTGGCAGGCCAAGAACCCAGGACAGCAGTCAGCTACAGACACAGAAGGTGTCTCAGTGGGACCTCATGCAAGTTTAGTCCTACATATCACAGCAGTGTGAAATTCTGCTTCATAACTAGTTTAAAAAAAAAAAGCAGTAAGGAACCTCTCAGATTTCTCAGATTTGGGGCCCTATTTGTCAGCAAGAGCAGACTGGCTGAGTGGGGGATTCATTTTATTACATGTCCAAATGCTATTTGGCAGAAGTGAGCCAAATCCACAGCTGATGCTACCATAGCATATACTTTCTACCATAGAAATATATTAATAGCTATTTGTTCTCCTCCCCCAGAAATAAAACACTTCTTACGCTGGGACTGGGAAACTACTTTAGCCCGGCTGCGGCCTCGGGTATCAGCAGGCGTTGAGGTGACGCTTGTGGCACTGCCAGAGCTCTGTCTCCTTGTACGAATCCGACCTGGAGGAACGCAAAGACAACCAAAATGTTAATAGGTTTCTTCCCAAGGCAGCAGCAGTGTCTAACATGCTGTTCTGTGCTTGCAGGGTTGCTATACACACGATTAACCAGGGTACAAAGGAAAGTTTTACAGGGAGAGGCAACATCTTTCATTAGACTGGCTGAGATGCAGGAAACTGAGTGGAAATACAGTCACGGTCCACAGGTCTGAAAACTTCTTTGCTTTCTGTAATGCTATCAGCCGGTTTAATTAAAAAAATATTACCTCTCTACAGCTTCTGTTCTACAGTAGCTTCTTTACAAAGGATCAACAACAAAAATTTCAGTCTCCTAAATGCTGCTTCCTATACCAAGTTATTACTTTCTGACAAGGCGATCACCCTTGCGGAGACGGGCGTGACAGATGTCCCCACTAATTCCATCGCTGGGATTTCCAAGTAGCAGTTCAGTGCTTTATACCCTGCTCTACATGCGCAGGCTGGCACGCACTCCTGGGAGACTCTGTCAACTCAGACTGACTGTGCTTTTATTTCAGGCTCATTGAATTTTCCCTGCTGTTTACAGATCTCTCATATTTATCCCAAGATCAGTGTAACTTTACTTGTAATGCAGAGTCTCATTTAACACAATCAACATTGTGGAAAAATGATTCCGAGTGTCTGCTCTTTATATAGCAGAGAATGAATATAAAGTCTCAAAGTGTTCTTGGGTCCTTTTTCTGTTCTTTCCTCATGAAAAAAGTCACAGAAATTTGAGCTAGAAAAGCTTACAGGGTCATCAGTTCATCCCCTTCCTGGGGCAGGGCTGTTTCCTACAGAACGTTCTTTCCAGTGCTAAGCTTCAATTATCTGTCTCTAGTTAATGGGAAAGAAATGATAATTAAGAGCACCACAAAGAAGGCTTCCATCAGCACTTTTCAACAAGTCAGTTCTCAGCCAAATCCGAAACTGTTTCTCAGGACTAATGCCAGCACTATCCTGCATTCAGAGGACAACTTCAAGTTTCAGGCACAATAATAAAGGGAAAAAAACCACAACAGGTAAGAGTTTAGACAACTGCACCCACCCATTATAGATATACATCTCCTGCCCTTTGTCTTCACCATAAGCATACAGAGAAATATCAACAGGGAGATACACACTTCCCATCCCCCCAAAAAAATCACTTCACATAAGGTACGCATGCAGGACAAGACAATGGCAAGCAGCCCAGGCTGAACGGATTGAGAGCTCTGTTCATCTCCGAGCTCTCAAAATATTCATAACATGGTCTGCAAGTCTCTGAGAGACACAAAGCGACACAGAGATGTTTAACTCTGAGAAGAAAGCCTCAACTTGTTTGCTGGGGAAAAGCCTAGGAGACAGCTGTACTTCACACCTCTTCACCAGCATCTAGTTTTAAAATAGCTCAGTAGCTAGATAGGTATCTACATTCAAAGAATTGTTTGTAGAAGTGACATAAAATAAATCATTAGCACAATACAATATAAACAAACCACTTTAACCACTGGCTCAACTAAACAAGCTCTGGGCACATCTACACAGGTAAAACAGTCATGTGTAACTGGCTGCTAAGCTCTTCTTACCTAAGCAAGGCTGCAAATCTCTTCTGCCCTAGGACATTCTCTGCCCCTTGCAAATGGTCAGCTCAGTACAGGGAGTCAGCTCGAGAGCTTTCTGCTGGTCCATTCCCATGGGTCACTGTGTGTTTTGTGACCTGCCACAAGGGGTGTACCCAAAACCTCACCACAGGCTTCAAAGCAGGTGTGCACAGCGAAGGAGGTAGAAAGACCTCATGCACTTGTCAGAAGCCTCAAGGCTTCCTTTTGTCATTTCTCACATCAGGAGGGCATCACTGGTGGCAGCAGGGGTACTAACCAGTAAGACAAGTAAAACCTGACCAGTCTTAGGAACCAAGAGAATTAACTTACATCCTTCCAGAAGGCAAACAGAAAGCCTTGGCATTGCAGAAAGACCTGGGGAGTAACTCAAGCTGAAATTCAACATTACAGACAGTGACAGGATTGGAAAACCATGGCCAGTGATGTGTATGGGCCAAGAATGGGCGAGAAGGGACTGATATCTTCTCCTCTTATGAACAGACCACTCTTAAAATCCTCTGCTTTTTCTGCAGCTACAAAATCACTTTTTTTGCTTCATCAGCAGGTGGTTAAGAAGGAGAAAACTGGGACAATATGTAATAAGTGACTCTCCCTTCTTAGGAAATACAAATCCTAAAATAAGACATGAAGAGAAACTAAGATTAGCTTCTGATACCAATTCTGGGGCTTTCAAAAAGAAAACTGAACCAAAGTGTCAAACTTAATTAATGTGTGATTATCAGCAGGATTAGAAATAGAGAGTTCAGTTCTATTTTGAAACCCCCAAGACTCAGTGGAAAGACTCTTCCCCACTTCCACAGTTTCTGAATTAAACCATTCCCAGGAACAAAATTTTGCTTCCTTTTGGACTGGCAGATTTGCACACTGATTTTGGCCTAATAGGTGTCAGAGAGAACACCATGGGAAAAAGAGCTGCTCTTCACCGGGAGAAGAGAGTCCCAGCGCTGATACTGGTTTTCTCATCCTTCTAAAAAGGCTGGAAGTGTTTGAACTAACACTGCACCAGACTTGTATTGTGCAAATGATAACAGGAATAGCAGAAACTAGAAATTTGTGACACAAAAATGATGTAAAGGTACAAATACTGCGATAGCACAGTAGCAGCTTACTGTAGGAGTACTTTATTTTTTTAAAGTCCATGGGATAAAGTAAAACATGAGGGGGGAAAAAGTGCTTCTCAAATTCAAGGTATCAGTTGTATGTATTCCTTGAAGTATGAACTGTTAATACACTTTCCAAAGTTTTATTTTCTGAACTTTAAAAGCTATTTATTTAATTTTTCATACAGGTAATTAATCTTACTTGCAGCACTCAAATGGTTCAAAATAAAGTGACTCAAAGCTACTCTTCAAAAAAAAGTTAAGATTCCAAGTTTTCCTAACCAAATACAGTCTTAGCTGTAAAGCAAAATATAACCAACTGGAACTCAAAATTGCTTTAGGCAAATCTGTATGAGACAGAAAACCAGGAAAGGTAACTGGGATGTTTCATATGTTAAGTGATCTTCACATACATGCACAACTTTTAGATTAGTCTTATGATATCCAAAACTTATTTGCTCTTTAGTAATGTAACATGAATCAATATTTGTCTAGCTTGAAAATCTCAAGGTTCTTAATATGTATTACACTGAGCACAGCACGTACATATAGAAGTTCATCTATAAAACGCAAATGTCTCTACTACATTCCCTTAAGGATTTCATCTGCAAACAGAAGTCTGCAGTCTCATCCAAGAGTTATCTGCACATTGGACTGTGTGTAGCTTTATCCCTATCATTCTACTCCAGACAGAAGAACTAATTCCAAGCAAGACTGTAAATAACAGATCAAGTTAGTTATTCAGACTACTTTGTTGTTAAGCAAACACTTCCCCTCTCAAAATTTCTTTGCTTTCAAGTGGATTTGTCTCCATATCTAGCTCAAACTGCAGATGCAGTAATCCATATTTCATAGCCATTATTTTTCTGCTCCCCTTCAAAGAATTACTGCATCCTGACAACAGCAGCACAAAGGAACAGATAAAGACTGCCCTAACTATTGGGTTGGCCAAAAAGTAATTGTTTTTTTCTGGGTAAATGAAAGGCGAATTTTTCAGGGGAAACAAAATCTTTATTAAACAATATATTGTCTGCTTTGTTCAATTGCCTTTTGCCATCTCTAAGGCAACTTCATGATTCTGCACTCAAAAAATTTCTTATCTTTTTTGGCAAAAAACAGTTCCAAGAACAATTTGACACCATCATCAGAAGTGAAGGTTTTATAACTCAAGGTATTTTGTAAAGAACAAAACAAATGCCAGGTTTGGCAAATATGGTGGATGTGGTAACATGAGACATGTATGCTCATCTACTGAAAAAAACCCGCAACTACATTTTGGTGAATCCAATACTTCCAAAACCATAGAAGTCTTTCCAGAAAAAGCCTTTGATCTAAATTTGTCATGTGACACATCACTGTTGGTAGAGAAAGCATTTTGAAAGACTCCATATAAGTGCTTTGTGTTAAGAAACCATTTGTGGGGGTTTTTAAGAAGGTTTTGGTTTTGCTTTTTGAAGTTATTGTCTGTTTTTACAACAATCAATGGATCAGAATCAATCTGGAAATGTCTAACATATGTCTAAGCCTAGGAAGGTTGTTTTGTTTTGTTTTCTTACAAAGGAACAAGCAAAGGAGAATTCTATGATAATGTTTTTGCGTTACAAGAGGCTTCATCCCACAGCATTGTTCTGAGCTCTGCTGGGAAGATATGGCAGCATCTCCACCCTCAGTGCTCAGAGCTGACATTGGCTTTGTGAGACCCAGCCTGTGTGTTAAACTGAAGAAAATGGCTTTCAGTCTAGAAATGGTACAGAGCAGCTCCACAACTGAGTTTAATCAGTTCCACGCTGTGAATAATGATACCTACAACCACACAAGTTACATAGGGAAGCATTGGGATGGTAATGGTCTCTCTATAGATGAGGTTAATGCATTTAGGTTACTCTCTCTACTTGGAGAAAAATATCCCTGAAAGAGCCTCTAGGACCTCTTTGGCTGTGTCACAGCTAAATGACACGTGGACATCTGAGACATGCACGCACCAATTAAAAACATGCTTTACATATAAATCTGTAAACAACTTATTACAACCACCATTACAATGGTTTCCATGCATATTTAGCACACGTCCAACATTATACTAGTGTAAGACCTAACGGCACCATAATTTCCCCCAAGAATCACTTGACCCTTACTGAAAATGATCAGTGTATGCTGCCTCTGGGTTTAGCATGCGAACTCCTTCCAAAGCAGAGGGTTGAGGGAACAACAGTGGCACCAATTTGCCCTGTACCGCCAAGCACAGGCAAATCAAGTCAGCACTTGCAAAGGAATGGACCAAGGGAACCAAAGAACCTACTACCAGAGTATTTCCATTGAAGAGACCACCTTCAGTCACAACTTTGAATCAAACCTTGCCCCTGAGCACAAGTGAGAGCTTCAAGGCAGAGAAGATAACAGGAATGTTGACTTCTTGAAACTTAAGTTACTCTCAAAGCCGTTGTAAAGGCTCAAGATGTCTGACTGAGCAGACCACTGTTTTGCGCCTAAGTTTACAGAAAACTGTAATAAATAAGATTTTATTTCCTTTCTGGTGAATAATAAAAGCTATTAAAATTTGTGCTATTGACTCTGGAAACTGCTGATTTTGTTTTAAACTTGCCAGTTTCAGGCAAGACCAGCATTTATGCTTCCCCCTTTTGGGAAAGGCTTGTAGGAAGGGCTTGTCTTTACGCTCACTTTGAAAAAAGGCAGCGAGGTAACAAAAATGTTCTGAGCCATTATTCTGTACTAAAAGTCAGCATTACGTACCTTTTTAAATATTCCTTGAAAAGCCATTTCATGATAAAACAGAAAGTATTTTAAGGTTTCGTTTTAATCAGGTATAACCAACATGGATTTAGGGCACAACAGCGACTTGCAGAGCACTAGCTGAAAAGTCCTGATCAAGACTGTAAAGATCTTACATGGTTTCTGTCTGCAAAGCTCTCAGTGAAGTTCAAGAGACACCCATACATGAAGAGCCTAGGCAATCAAGACATAATTGTGCACTGCATGAAGACACCGCTTCACAGCACAGAGACAGCAGAAGACCCGCCCAGATTTAAGTGGTATACAGACTCACGCGTTACCTTTCCATAAGGAAGCGCATTTCAACAGCATTTGTCCATTGGGATGGCCCTACTTAAAACCAAAGGACTGATACTCACCTATTAACTTGTATTCTTGCCACTGGCATAACCCACTCCATTGCTCCTGTTTTGAGATGTCTGGCTCAACAACAAAACCCTGAGGAGAGCTGAGGGCAACGTAGATGGGAACTGCCAAGTTCACACAATGCTGGCTCTGGGCTGAGCGGAAGGTGCAGAGCTTTTACACTGTAGCTACAGAAACCATGATGGGAACCAGACTGTGGATCTAATGGCAAGCTGAACCACACAAAACAACAGAGGTTTGCCCTTAAATTACTTAATGCTAACATGTAAAAAAATAACAGGGGCACATATGTGGATGGAATTTCTGCTTTATGTTCAAAGACTGTCTTGTGCACACACAGGCATTCCCACAGCAAGGCGATACTTCTCTCTTCCCTTGCCCCCTTATTTTTTACATTTATGTAAAGAATACAAAGTTTTCTCTTCCCTGTAGTTCCTGGCAAACTGTACAAGATCAGAGAGTTGACAGAGGACATTTCTCAGCTCTCATCTGTAGGACATACGAAATCCTGAACAAAGGCTGGTTTTTCCTTCACTGTCTCAACAAAGGAAAATAACACTGAAGAGTTTCAAAAATTGATTAAACTCATCCTTCAAGTGCTCTAGCTGCAGCATGCCATGTTGTTATAATCACTCTCCCCCAAAAAAGCAATTCTACAGCAAAAGAAAGAAATGAGATCTGGTATTTAACACGACAGGAATGGCAAACTCCATTTCCCAAAGCTCATCTCACAATTTTTCCCCACAAGCCACTTGCTGGTTTCTATTACAGATTTTTACCAAATCCAATCTGCTTCCAATGTAGCTGAATTGAAATTTTTTTAAAAAGCCTAATCAAATTCTAAAAACCCCACCCCTTTGCATGATGACAATAAAGCAGCTAGTGAACTAAAACTAAAAGTATTCCAGAGGACAGATGTTGGAACGGGCCTCCACAAATATTATTACAGCCAAGGAGAGGACTGAGACCTGTGTAGGGTATTTTATAAAGTAACATTTCAAAGTTAGGCCAAAAAGAGAAAGGTTTGAGAACTGGGAGAATGAAGAGAAAAAGAAAGGTCAGCAATGATTTTAAAAATCTCAGGATTACAACAATCTGGAACTTTCACCTCATTTGCCATTGATTTAGAAATACAGGTGTGTAGGCCAACTTCATTTTCCTTATCACTGACAGATCACAAAGCACAAACACTTGCCCATGCTGCAGCGCCAGTTCATCTCTCAACACTAGGATTCAGTCAGTTCTGAAAACAGTAGACACCTTTCCCTCTAAATAATAAATCAATGCATCAATTGCATCAATAACAGTAAGGAAAAAACACACATGTCACAACAGCACAGTGGCACTTCTGGAACACCACATCCAACTACAAGCGGCCATCAAGGATATGAGCACAGTCCCACAAGACAGCAGTAGAGCTACTGAAAAAAGACTTGCATCAGGAAAAAAATGGGGTGGTTGGGGGGGTGTGGTGTCTTCATTATGTGTAGAAGGCATTCTTGTTTTCAACTCCTGTCTACCTCAGAAAAAGTGATTTCCCAGTGATCTTTTCAAAAAGTGATTTCTCAGTGATCTTTTTTGCTTGAAATAAAGAACAAGCTTTGATAACAAGCCAGAGAACCAGACTGGGAGCCCTCCCAAACTAGCAGGCTCAGTGCTCTTGAAAAAAAGCCTTTCCTCCAACTGTCTGAGATGTGAGCCATCTCGCTCAGACAGTTAACAACAAAGAGAAAGAGCTCAGGTTTAAAGAGGTTGACTAAATACTCCCTCCCTAGAGATCATTGTTTACTGCCCTCATTTTTCTGCCACGTGATCACCTCATTCAATTCCCTCGCTGCCCAGTCTCTTCCCGAAAGCGTTTGGCAGTTGCGACCTGAGCTTTGGATGGAAAAACACAGAAAACCTTTACACATCGCGGAGCAAGAAAACACAAGCCCTGCATTGTTTTTGTGAGTTTGTTTTTGGTTGGGTTTTGTTTTGGTTTTAATCTGTGCGCAGGTCACCTTCAACCAAAAGCAGAGCTTTAAATACAGAGACCCACATACAGCTTTGTGATCAGAAGTGGGGAGGAGCTTGAAGAGAAAGTGAAGAATACCCCATGGCATCAAAATGAGCAGGACAACCATGCAACACTTCATGCAGGTCACCAGTGAACATGGATGAGAACCAGATAACACTTTGAGAACAGAGACCAGGTAGGGTGGTACGACTGTGGACACACCTCAGTTACACAGAGACTGCTTACCCTCGGCTTTAGTGGTAGTACCATCTTTAGGCAAATTAAAAAAAAAATAAGGAAAGGGTTAATAGGGAAAATTAGTAACATCAACAGAAGTGGGCACTATATATTAGCTACAGAAATATTCAAAAAAATTTAATACAATTGAAGAGATGAAAGAAGTTCAACCAAGCAGCAAATCAAAACTTGATGTATCTGAAGAATGCACTTGCAGGTTTTCCTTCCTGCAATAACCAACCTTTGACAAACTCTATTTTTGTCGTTTGCCTCACCATTTCTCTCATAGGAATGTGCAGGTGACAAACATCCCTACTAGCTCTAAAGGATGCAGGTCACTTCAGGGGCAGCCGTGTTTGCATCACTTAAGGTATTCGCTGCTTTTCTCCTACAGTCCGTTTTAAGAGCAGGACTAACACTGTATCCAGTTTCTCAGCTCCAAGGACAAAGCCAGCTTCAGTAGATACTTTCCCCCATCTTCTGTTCTTCCTCATGACATAGGATTGTTCAAAAGTAGTTTTGCCACTGAAGCCAGTGCACAGCATGACCGAAAAATGGCTGCATGCGTAAGCTCGAAAGTGCATTATTGCGAGATCAACTTCATATTCTGTATTATATCTTCACTGCAATGTATCTAAATCTTGAACCAAGTATGAATGATTGAAATCAGAGTAAGAATTCCACTTCTAAACCAAATACAACCAACATACTTAAGCCACAGTAAAATATTTCAGATATGAAAGAAACCTTTCTACAAAAGGAATCTATAGAAACCATTCCTATATAACTCACCAAGAGTATTTATCAGACTAAAGACCAAATGCCCTAC